GGACCGTGTGCGTTGGTAGTGACCGCCGCCACAACCCACAGAGCACTGAGACCAGGATGACCAGCAAGACCATGCACCTTTCACTGTAATGCACACACACACACAGGTACACATTACACAACATAATCACTTGCTGCCTTTGCTGATACAGTACGACACACTACCGCCATTTAAGACCAGAATTCTTCTTAGCGACAGGAAAAAAAAGAAGTTTCTCCACTGAGTCTGAATTCACTTCAGCTCAGTGTGGATGTCACAGTGACGTGAGACTTAGCTCAACGTCCTTAAAGAAGGAAAAAAACCATTAAAGTCTGAAGTTTTCATTGGTTGTGTCCCAGAGCACCTGGCAGGTCTTTCATAGGCGCTCACCTTTAATATGTAAACATTTGGCTCAGCTGTGTGAAAACACTATTAATACAAAACCTTGTAATGGTCAATATTTAAAGACAAGCATCACAACGTGCAGTTTGCCCGTGGAGACGTGTGACACCATGGTTTAAAAAGCAGTTCTGCTAGTTTCTGTTTGTTCAGTGCTGCTTGCACCAGTTGGTTGTACCCCAAGGCTGCACATAAAATGTTTTAACCCTAATGTAAAATGTATGCTTGTTGCACCACATGGGCTCCCTTATGTATTATTAAATACAGTATTAAGGTCTTGTTCAGACTTTTATCAGGGCCCACAAACAAACACAAACATGGTCTGTTCATTCCCAGATTACATGTCTTTTCTTGACGAGTCGTGTGAATTTTGATTTCATGTCATATTAAACATCTTCTTTTCATTTTTGCATCAAACTCTGGATACATTCTCCACTTCATATGTTTTCACACTTTGTAATAAATGTCTTTTTGAATGATTGATCAAATTCTACTGTCTTTGGCGTCTTATCTTTCTGTTGCATTGGTTTGGTCTTCCCACGGGCACCGTTAATGTTTCATCTAATCTAATCAGAACAGCGTGACTGACTAATTGACTGGCTGGTGTCCGTCTGACTGACAGAGAGAGGTGGCGTTGCCAGGTAACGTCACACTGCTGCAGAAAACTCCATTAGCTGAGTGGATTAGTGTGAGACGGGGACACAGGCCGCGACCACTTAACTCTCACTAGCTCTCGCAGCCAGCCACCGCTGTGCCTGACTGACTCGTTGACTAACTGGCTGTTTACCTGGCTGAATGGTTGAGTGTCTGACTCACTGGATTACTGAACAATTCACTGTGTACCTGAGTGATGTACTGTTGTTTTAATGACTCTCTCACTGTCTGCATGTCCTCCCTTATGGCTGACTTACTGTGTTCATTTACATTCTGAAAAATGAAGCTCAGAGTGGGAACATACCAGGCTTGTCCCTCCATGTGTTGATTTGGCTGCTCACCAGCACCAGAACCTTAGTTTCTATTGAACCAAATGTACTGCCAGAGCTGCAGAATTGAGACCTGGACCTGAGTTTGACTTCAGTCACAAGAATTTGACTCCCTAAACATACAACTTAGGACTTGAAAGAAAAAGCATTTAAATCTAGTTTTGATTTGGTAAAATACTGGACTATAACCAAACAACTGACATTTCTACTTGAAACGTGACATGATTCAAGACTAACTGTGATAAAACATGAGATCTGGACATTCACTATCTTGAATGACTTCATACTTGACTCTAGATTTGACTTGGACTTGGTCTCAAATTGACAGGTGCTTTGCTTGGACTGACTTGAGACTTGACTTGTACTGGACTTGGATCAAACTGACGCTTTCCTTTAAACAACTTCAGACGTCACTCCACCTTATTTCGAATGGACTGTTACTCGACTCTACGTGGACTTGTCCTGACTTGACATTGATTTGCTCTGATGACTTGAGATTTGACTTGGACCTGTCTTCACTGACCTGAGACCTGACCAAGACTTTTCTCAATTGACTTAAGCCTGCACTAAGACTTGTTTGCCATATTTGACGACTTGGAACTTGGAACTTGTTGTTTGACAGTAAAGATTGAGAGTCACCCCTAAAGTCTCACAAACAGCTCCACTGATTTTATTTAAAAATGCCACAATGAATATTAAATTAATAATTATTGTCTATGTTTGCTTGTTGTTGTCTCCATTGATAGTGAGGGTTTCAACGTTGACTTTTTTATAGGTCATAAGTTCTTATGACGAAACTCATAATTGAACTCAGGCTACTTCTGACTTAATGACCTCTCTCACAGTCACACCTGCTTCCTTCGCACACACACTAACACACTTTTCATTTCGATCTCCTCAGCAGTTTATATTGCCTCCATCTTTCTTTCTAATTTCACCATCAATTACTATTTTGTGCTCATTCTCTCTTTTGTCACTGGCCTTGTCCTTCTCACCTGTGTGCCTACCCGGGATAGGCACAGCGAGGCTGCCTGTCCACGTGACGCTCATGGTAAAAGGCTTTCTCCCTCCAGGATGTTATCAAGGTCGTCTCGCCTTGGCTTCCTCATGTTGCGTGTGTGTTTCGCTAAGCTACTCGCTAAGGATTTTGTACACTACATGATTTTGATCATGAATCAAGGATGATGTCTTTAGAGGACATTTTTCTAAAGCCAGCCATTTTGTGTGTGCATCTATAAGTGCAGCAGTCGTTGGTCAGCAGCGTTCCAGGTTAGCTGATTATGGTTTGATGAGGAGTTTGAAATGGGTACCTTCATTTGTCTGAGTCTCCCTGCACTGCTGTATCTGCTGGTAACCATTAGCTAATGAAGCTAATGATCCACTCAGCAGTATACTACTGCCACTCTTGACCTCCCCCTCTCTCTGTCTTTATTTCTGTCTCTCAGATGTTTCCAGCATTTCAATTATATTGGAGGGGCTGCTTGAAAATCAGCCGTTGGAAGTGTGATCAAAAATGTTGTATTTGGTGTAAATCTTGATTTCTAATTTAAATTGTACACTTTGCTAGATCCACTGTGTGTTGCACTGTATTCTAGTTCCCAGTTGGTGTTTGATGTCAGAAACCTGATGTGAATCATCTGTTATCATTTAGATCTTAACACACACCTCTAACTATTGTTCCTCTTAAAATAGGAAACTATAAAATGTATAGAGATTTTATGCCCCCATTTATACGATGAGTCCTAAGTAAGCACAGTGACCGTAGTCAGTCTTGCAGTCACTCACCAGGACACGCCTGGACATTGCAGTCCTGGTACTCCACGGGCGACCCACGGCATGCGACAGGGGCGCTCTTCCCCTCTGGTCCAGAGCAGCTTCGCCGACGGGTGCGGTAACCTTTGGCACAACTCTGTGAGCAGCTCGACCAAGGCTCCCATGATGACCAGCCAGAACCTGCAACTCTCACCACTGGTGTCTTCAGAAGCTCCTCAACAAGAGCTAGAGAGAGAGAAGACAAAAAAAGGTTCCAGGTTAAAGTCATAAGTCTATGCAGTGCTCTCAGATTGAGTTTTAGAAGAATTAAAGGATACAGTTAGACTCCTTGACTGTAAGTCACACAGCGTATATGTATTCTCTGTCTGTCCTTCTTTATAACTCTGCCTGCAGCTTTCCTGCTGTCAGTGTCATCAGTTTGTCGATGTGGCCCCCCAGGAGGTTGACCATGGGGGACAGGTAATCGATTCAGGAGAGGGTGGCATGAAAAAGCCACCAGTGGATTCTGACCCTGAGTAGCTGTCACCCTGTCACTAACAGGTCGAACCAGAGGGCCTTTTCAACACGTCCTGTGTGGTAGGTGCAGTACAATGTATATCTGTGTTCATATAAATACAGTATAAAGATGGTTAACCTACTGAAATGTCCCCACACGTGCACAGTCATCTCCTTTTAGTTCTCTTTTTTATTGACTCCCACTTAAAACCGACTTAATCACAGTTTAAGGATAAATCCACACTGGTGACATTAATTCAGTCATCTGCATCCCTAAGGTGGAAACTGGAGCATTAAACTTGAACTGACATTGTCATCAACTGATTTTTTTCATTTTAACATTTATTTATAGTGCAGCATCACCTCCAGCCCTCTGCACAGATTACTGAATAAATAACACCAGACACACCCCATGGCCACTCAAACCACACACAGGATCATAAAAATTAAACAACAACTATAACAGTGACAATTAAGGTTAAGTTCAGTTAAGGTAAATAAGTGAGGGCGACTGGCTGTCAGCTCGAAGTCTTGAAGGTTATCCACTCAGTGAAATTAGGAGGGATCAAAGGAACCGGGACGCCCTGCGATGGGCTGGCGACCTGTCCAGGGTCTGCCCTGCCTTTCGCCTGCAGCTGGCTGGGATTGGCTCCAGCCCCCCGTGACCCCGTTTGGGACTAAGCGGTTTAGAACTGGCCGTAGATAATACACAACTAAATATGCCAAAGAATGAGAAAGCATTCAAATGGGAGCTCACTATATGAGCTTCCGATGAAAACTGTGTGGTCACTTGCCCACTGAAGCTGGTGTGTTGGGGGCTCATCATCTGATAGCAATGAAGTAATTTACGTTGGAAAGTCGCATCTAAAAGTGTAACTAAGGGACAAGCAGGCGTTCCCATAACGTTTGATGTCAATCTCTTTACAGTGAATTTGTTGCTGACTCAGATTAAAACTGAGCAGCTCAACATCTTAGATACTGTGCCAATGTATGGATTTTATTCTAGGGGGTTCTCTTGAATGGTGGCACTGTTATTTACCCACACCCAGAGACCCGACCACATCACTGCCTCCGTCAGCTGGATAACTTACTGTCTGTCTCGCAGACGGCTGTACCGTCACTGGGGCAGAAGCGCGTCTCCACCTTCCTGCGCCCGATCTGCAGCTCATGTGGATCAGACAGGTGGGCTCGGCACATGTAGCGAATCCTCTGCTCCTGACGAGATCCGCCCTGAGTTACGTTGACAGGCATCCAGGGGGTCCAGGGTGTGTTCCTCTTCACCTCTGGACATGCCTCCAGGTTACAGGCCTTGTACTCCTGAATGAAAAGGTGCCAAAGTGTGGGGTTTCAAGATTTATTTTAAATCAAGACTGTAAATCCCATTAGAAGATTCTTGAAGCTGCAGTGTTCATTGCTTCCACAACCACTATTTTAGCTGATTATCTAACTAGCAGTGTTTTCCCTGAGGGTGGTACTCGTCATACAGCCATGGGGTTATATCTCAAAGGTTCCTGAGTACAAAGGAAACTTTTGGTGAGAAGAGGCTGTAGAGGGAAGATCCAGAAGTCACCAGGATCAGCAGTGAATTCTTTCTTGAGTAAACATAAAAGGGCAAAGAACATTTCATAGAAATCGCTCCAATAGTTTTTGAGATCAGTCTTCAAATGACACAAAAACAACTGTATGTACTATGTGTATGGAGATAATGAAATATTGATCTTGTCCTGGTGAAAACTGAATTCCTGAATTCCTGTTGGTCCCCAGAGGCTGTCAATCATCACACAGGGGCAAAAAACATCCCGCGTTTTTCTCATAAAAAAGGAAATGTGACATTTTATTTTGATGTTAAGAATTTCATTGACATTTAACCGACAGTTTTAAAACAAGATAAATGTGGACATGCTGTCGTTTCACTCAACCTGAGCCATTTAAGTCTGTACTTCTTTGCTTACATCATCACCTGTTCACCTCTATAATGATGTTGCCCTCACTATTGTTGTTAAGCCTTTGACAATTATTGTTACTGAGCTTTACTTGTTGTGTTTGTTTGGCACCTAAACCTGGGTACACACTCACACTGTGGGGACACCAGTCCACAACATGTAGGTAATTTAGTTTTAGGGCGATGACTTGGTTTAAGGTTATGTTAGTGTTAGGGATTAGGGTCAGTTAGTTAGTCGAGGTGGTACAGATTTGGGTAACGGACTGTGGAATGCATTATGTCAGTGAATGTCCTCACATACAGATGTGTGTGTTTCCTACCAGGGCACATCCTGGGCAGCTGTTGCCATTCTCACAGGTGCGGACCCTGGAGTGAACGCCTCCCCCACACTCTGTGCTGCACTTGGTCCAGGAGCCCCACGGGGACCAAAAGATCGGCTGAGGACAGGACACCCCTTCGTTGCAGAACCTGTGGAGATGGCAGTGGTGGGAGAGGAGGAGTCTCAGTGAGAGCTATAGACTGGAGACTTGGACTGGAGTCAAACTAAGTGTTAAATCGAGACCTGACTTCACCTCCTTGAGCCTCGACTGCCTAAAGTCTTGAAGTGAGATTTGAAAGCAAAGACATTCTGTCATACAAGTCTCACATTCTGATCAAAAATGATAGGAACATGATGCTGGTCCTTTGTCCACTTCAGTGACCTACTGTACATAGTGCAACTTCTCTTTGTTTGTTGTTAGTTGATGCTTTTCCTTTCACTCTCCTCGACCCACTCACCCCCTCCGCCCACCAAGAGCCCGGCTCTGACGGAGGTTTTCCTCTCCTCTGTCACCAAGTGTTTGCTCAAAGGGGATTTGTTGGGTTTCCCCTCAATACTCTAAGGTCTAAACCTACCCTGAGATGAGTTTTGTTGTGAATTGGCACTGTACAAATGAAACTGAACTGAATTAAACCTAAAGAAACTTTAATTAGAAAACAGTCATGAATGATTTTTGTAGCGTGCTGATGGTGGTGTCAGATGAGAAAACACTTAGATGGAAGCAATGGCAGACTACTTATTCTGTTAGTTATATTAACTTGTTGGATGTTTTGCCCCAAAAGATGGAGAAATGGCTCTGGTATGAAGTTTGGAATAAGGCTGAGAAAAGGCTAAACTGCATCGTAGCACAGTGCTGATATGTTGAATGTGACCATGTTTGCACACATTATTAGCTCAGCCGCTCTCAGTGGGAGTAAATATAACCCTGACTTCAGTCTTCTGAGTATTAGAGTTTTCCTTTACCAACACGTCTGGTTATCCCTACCTCTCGTCCCTGCTCGGCCCCACACACACACGGCCACCGTGCCGGGGTGAAGGGTTGTTACAAGAACGCTGGCGCAGTTCAAAGCCCGTGCCACAGGTTGTGCTGCACTGTCCCCATGATGACCAGGGCGTCCAACCTCCATTTCTGTGGTAACAAACGTGGACAAGTATTAACAGTGATTCAGATTCCTACCCAAATATTCAGCTGTGTTGGTATTCTTCTTTGACAGGGTTTTCTCTAAAGCTGAAGAGGGAAAATGCTTTTTAGCTTTGTCTAACCATTGGTCTGTTTCTGAATAGACATAAAAGAAGCACATTCTGCCTCAGAAACATTCATTCAATTTGTCTGAGTGCTTTGTTCCTGGGTAGCACTCCTCATGATTTAATTGCTACTTTATGCAAAAGGCAAATTAAATTTCGACACCAAGGATTAAATCAGGCATAGATATCCAGTGGGATGAAGGTGCCTAAGCTCTGTCTCAGCTCTGCTCTCTGTTCCACTGATTGGCCAATTCCCCTGCAGGCAGAGGTGATGACAGGTGTCACAGGAAGAACCTGGATGTCACCCACATTTTCTAATAAGATTCCTCATGTTCATGATTTATCCCATGTTCTGTCAGAGCGTAAATAGTGCCCTGAGGTGGATGCCTCTTTGTCAGTCAGGATGTTGCTCCTACAGTGACACAGTTTAAGAAGAGATGTTAAAGGTCACCTGATCCTGCTCCAGACTCATTTGCCAAATGACAAGATTAATGTGCTAAATCACAGCTTTGTAATAATTTCAACCTGACAATGTCCAGCGCGCAGGGGCCAGAATACACAATAAGGCCACCCAACCTCCGTTTCTACCATCTCTTTGTTTATGGTGCACTATTGATCTTAGTTTTCAGTATTATTATATATTATTTTCTAGATTAATAGTGTAAATCCTCAGCTTCAACGTGGATTTAGAGCATTTATAAAGCAGAGAAGTGTTCTACATCAGGCAAAGAAAGGCATTAGATCAACAGTTAAAACACAATGAAGAGGAATAAAAAGAAATAAAATACAAACAGGCAACAAATACAGTGTCTGTACAGTTAGAGTGCAGTAATAGAGGAAACGTGCAGTGGACAAGTGAATAAATGTGCATAGTAACTTTAAGCAGGTTTGTTGTGTTTTGCTTTGAGCTGCTGCAGTCAGACTGAAGACCCGAGGGAAGAACTGGGTTTATATTCTTCAAGCATATCAGAAATGTATTTTGCCCAGAGGGTGATACAGTAGGCTATATATAAATGAGCAGTAGCACTTCAGAATCTATTCTGTAACTACAATGTAAGCACAGGATCTAATGTGTTCTAGTTCTTGTTGTAACTCAACGCCCCACAGTTTTCCAAATGTTCACACTGGTTGTGAACTTATTAAGGAATAAGTAGGTCTGGAGAATCTTTTTAGTTGTTGTGTTTTATGCTACATGATAACAGATACATGATCAACACTGCCTTGTTGTGACCTGGATGTCTGCGTCGATAGAAACACCAACATTTCTACCAAGGTCTTTTCTCTTGTTAGAAAATGTAGTGATTTCTTTGTCTTTCTGCAGTTGATTAAAAATAGCTTTGCAACCTGAGATTAGACAAGTAACCTTCAGTAACTTACATTTTTATTGTAGTGGGGAAAAAATGATCTTTTTAAAACTCCAAATCATTATGATCATTACATGTGATCAGTATTATTTACATTTTCAACAATGATGGAAAAAAAGATCAATCTTTCTCCCTGACCTTGAGCAGTTGGCGACTTCGATGGTGGGGCCCTCACAGTTCTTTCCTCCACATCGAGGTCCGGGACTGTCACAAGACCTGGAGCGACACAGACAGGAGCTCACACCATCCACACCGTCGTCATTGTTGCAGGGTTGCCATGGCGCCCATGGTCCAAAGCTGCCATTGATGGTCTGGTTCTGCAGCTGGAAAACAAACATCGGTCATGATGAGTGAGATCAGGTCAACAGACATCAGCCTGGGTTATTCAGTCAGTGACTGCACAGAGTAACGTTCAGGACTTTTGCGGCAATTCACTTCACTTTGGCCAAATTCATCCAGTTGGTCTGACGTCAGGTTGTGTAAAGTTTATATACCCTAATATCACAGTTTTGCCTCAGTGCAGCCTCATTTATTTCACTTTAATTCACCTACTTCTCTCACATCTACAGATGGGTGACAAAGGAAAGGAAAACCCAACATAAAGAGTCTCAGTGAGGAGCTGGGCCACGAAGAGCCACCAGAACAGCTTCAATACACCTCAGCATCGACTCTCCGAGTCTCTGAACTCCACCATTCTCCCCAAAGACATTCCCTCATGTGGTGTTTTGATGGTGGTGGTGGAGATGCCAACACATCACTCCAGCATTTCCAAAAGGTGTTCAACTGGGCTTCATATCATTTTCATACCTATCAACCCACTCAGTGTCCCCTTGTGCCCTGTGGATGGGGGCAGCGTCATCTTGGAAGAGATCACTCATTGAATTGGGTTTTTCTCCTATAATCCGTCACCTGTCCTGATCCTATTATTGTACAACACACGCTGAGAAGTCATTAGAATGATGCCAACCACTCTGACATCTACAGGGCACACCTAAGTCTTCTGGCCACATTAGAAGAGATGACATGTTCTTTTGTTTCAGTAAATGCTGCAGTGACATCACGCCTACCGGACAAACAGTGATGTTCTGCTTCCACTGGCTCATGTTGGAGCTCTCCTCCAGTGTGGTGCATCTGCTCTGCCTGAAGTCCCAGCCACAATAGGGGTCCCTCGCCTCCAAGCACAGCCTGCAGGGGACAGGAGAGAGGACGAAGAGTGTGTCAGCAGAGTGAGTAGTTAAACAGTAGCACAGTGCACGTGATTAAACAGAAATGGACAAATTAAATGACCATATGTTTAAAGATAAACTTTACATCCATTTTTAAACATGTCCAAAAATACAACCACAAGTTTCTAAAAACATTAAACCAGTAAAAGGGGATAATGATGGCAAAGGAATTAAACTAAAGTAGTTAACAATATATAACAGTGGCTAAATGCCTACACCTACTATACGTGCACAACACATTTTTGGTGCATTGTTCCCACAGCTCTCACACAAACACTATATGTGATAGAGCACTCAAACAGCGATGAAATATTTGTTAGCTCCTGCAGTAAAACAGAGGATTAATGACAGCTAATTAAATCTAAAGCTGTTAATGACAAGGCTAAGCTGCTGAGCTGATCTGGATGCCTCAGGAATACAGGATAAAGGTGTCAACTGAACTGTTCCTCTCTCTAAAAAGCCCTTTACACTACTGCCCATTCAAAGTAGGATTATTGGGACAATTTCTGCCAAACCACTCTGTATGAAAGGTACCAAGCTGGCATTTGGGGGTGGGGGCAGTGTGCACGGTCCCTTATTCCACCAGAGGTAGTAAAATTGGCAGCCATTTTGCCTTCTGTGTAAAAGGGGAGAGGCGGGCTGTGGGTGAAGGGGTGTGAAAATGTGCTAATATTATAACCATTAACATGAGGTCCACTACATGTTTACATGTTGTAAATGTGCAGGATCAGCAAAAGCACATCCCTGTTCTGCTCATCCACCACTGCTGGTGTGAAAGCAACAGTTACCAGCGTGCTTGGTATTTCTGATGTGTGTTTTATGTGCATGGTTATTTGTCAAGCTGTGTGTCACATTCAGATCTCTAATACCAGGATGTTGGTGTAAAAAGAACACAGGCTCTTTTTTTAGTTCAGTGTAAACTGCCATAGAGAAGGGCCAGCTTAAAGCCAAGGGGCTAAAGACCCGCCTTCACGTCCTGCCTCTCCTTCTCAGCCGCATCAGAGTTGGAGGTTCCCTTCCTCCTCTGTCTTCATTCAGCTGAAAGGAGAGATTGTTTTGTGTTTTTCTTTCCTGGCACAGAGCCTCATGGTTTATTTGAGGAGCCCTGCAGTGTTTTTGCCTGGAGGTTGAGCAATCTGTGTTGATGCAGCTCTCTGTGCCAGGTCTGGGCCTCCATGACGAACCAGAGGTCAGGTTAAATTCAATAAAGACATGACTGCTCAGACAGAGCATCAGAGGTGACTCCGCATGCACAGGAGGGGGAGGAGAGGGAGGCCATGTTCTCTGTGTGATCTGTGGCACAGCCAGAAAACGACGCGTTTCTTCATGAGCCGGTCTCATTAATTAAGTGACACTATTACAGCGACACCAGATGCAATCTCAAATACAGATGGAACAATAACTGTAATGAGGTCGGAGACAAAGTCACAGTTCAGTGAACGTTATGGCCCATTTCAAAGGGCAGAGGGAGGGGCGTGTTGTCATTCTGACTCAAGGTTCTCTATAGCGTATCTGTGATGGCTCTGATGTCACAGTGTATGAAGAATTCTCATTTGGCTTTGTGATTACCACACACACACACAGACCATTACAGAGATCAGCTAAGCAGAACAATTAAGTGCACATTTCAAGGATGAAATAAATAATGTTAGATGAAAGGGAGAGGTGGGGAAGATTTGAGGCATAATTACCTCTGGCTTAAGTGTGCCAAGAGGCAGGCTGGGAGGCCTCTGATCTCAGGAACAGACATGCTTAGTCGCATTTTCACCCTGTTTGCAAGAGTTCAGGGGAAAATGCTGTTGAAATGTGCAAAAAGACAACTATGGCCTCACAGAGCTGTCCGTGCTTTATGCTGTTAAAACCAGAAAAATGTATCGGCTGCAGAGAATTGCTGACAAAGTGATATCAGTGCAGCTGAGGAGAGGGGTGATCTTCACACATACCTGTACACCCCCTCATCTCAAATCTGTAAGGGCTGGAGTTCGGCATTTAGATGACTAAGGGTCAAGTTAGGGTAAGGGGATCGAGGCCATGATTGGTGGAAGGAGTACACTACTAAAGTAAAAGTATCAATAACGCTGTTACTATTCAAAATGTTACGTTAAAGCACAAATGCATTGCCATAAAAATATAAGCACTAAAATGTGATGTGCTCATATTATGCAGAATGGCACATTTAACATTAACGTAAATTGGATTATAATTATTGATGCATTACATCACATTTCATGTTTCAGCTGGTTTTAAATGCTTCCAATGTGAAGTAGCCTACTGATGGGTAGCTTGGGAATTTTCCACTAGAGATCAACCGAGTCTTATGATTAATGCTGTATTTTCTTTTTTAATCTGATTCTGAAAATGAACTAAAGTTATAAAATAAATGTAGTCTTTGAGTAAAAAGTACAATATATGTTTCTACAATGTAGTGAAATATGTGAAATGCTCATTTACAAATACCTCGAAGTTGTACTTAGGTATGATACTTGTGCAGGGCACGGGCTGATATTTAAACCAGTAGTGTGCACGTCGAGTGTCACACTCTATCAAAACAGGGAAGCCTGGGAACAGCCTGGGAACATGGCCTGTTAATTTTTAAACAGACCCAAGCAGCAAAACCCACCTGCCCATGTAACAATATGTCTGGATGACTGGCATCAGAAGATAAATCTGGCGGATTCTTTCTGTGGGGGTGTAATTGGCAGTTTAAATCATTTGTGATTGCTGTAAAAACCAGTGTCTGCTTTTATTACAAGCCCTTTAACAACTAGACATAAAAACAATTGTTCACCCTCGCCTTTAATAGCAGGCCGTCTGTGTGTAATTGCAAATATGATCACCAGAACTGATAAATTATGGATTGGAATCAGCCGTTATATGTTGTAGTGCTGACGCTCTTTGTAATGCACTAGCAAAAGCTGTCTGGAGGGTCTGACATGCGCCCGCCTCTTTCCATCGCTACACACTAGTCATGTTTTTTGTCATGGCCGTTCTCAGGAGAACGCCGCTGACAGGCCCCCCGCGTCTCAGCTTCTCTTCGGGAGAGAGAGCTCGTCCCTGGGGCTTTTGTAACTTACTGCGCTGGGCCGAGCTGTATATGTAGGAGGTCTGCTCATGATGAATCGGAAACACAGAGAAGTCCTGTTGGCACTCAGTGCTAATACATCCAGTTATAGTTGGAGCCAGGCTGAAGACTGAAGGTGTCGAATCAAAAAAATAAAATAAATCAAGGAAACCAAAGATGCCTTCTGTCCCTTTGTACAAGTTTATCCCCAGGGGACTAAAAAGAGCTGCATCATCATGGAGAAACTATAGAGAGACCGAGGGAGAGTGGACAAGGAAATATAAATATATTATAAGGCAAAGTGATAGATGGCGGATGGTAAATGGATGGAGAGGAAGCAATAAAAGAAACTGTGATAGTGCGAAGATGGATGATAAGAATGTGGACAGAGATAACACAAAAGCAAGAGAGGCAAAGTTGAAAGCAGCCCTGAATTGTAGTAACTTCAGGACTAAGGCCGGGGGGGGTTTATAGCATTTTATCAGTCCAGTAAGTTTATTTGAATTCTGTGTGGAATACTGAATTTTTAAATCTGTCCATCCATTATTTATACCAGCTTATCCTTTCCCACGTCAACAAGAAGCAGAATACAAACTGGGAAAGTCACCCGTCTGCTGCCCGAGCCCGTTTATTTCATCTGACAACGTAGAACCACAAACTGTAGATACAGTCCAGTCTGAAAATCACATGTGCAGAACAGAAGATCTGCAACTTTGACTAAACGTACAGTATCTGACACACAAATGGTGTAACTTCGCAAACCTTACATTTCACAAGCTACCTGGTCTAAATAACAAAGGCGCTGACTCAGAACTACGAATTGATTAGATGAAATTTCCATTACGAACATTTTTTTGTTGAATACAAACACCAGCTTCCCAACAACAGCCAAATGTTTCATTTTGGTCTGATATCAACTTGCAGAACTTATGTTTAGCAGCTAGAGCTCATATTACAATCTGCTGCCAGTGCCCTTTGTGATTTCAACCAGTAATGGTGACAGTTCAACCTGGATGTGATGTGAACGATACGAGAGTCATTATCCCTAAAGCTCAGCAAAACCAGGTATTTTGCTGAGCCCAAAGTGTTGTGCTTGTTTTTATTTTTCATTTTACAACCAACCCCATAAAAGGAAGCAGAGTTTTCTTTTGTCAGCATCAAGGGATCTGAAAGGTGGTGAACTGGAAGTAAAGAAAGAGCACTGGTCAAAATCAAGGCTGAGAGGAAGAGTGGTGTGCGTAAGCAACATCGACGGGAATGGAGAGAGAGATTGGAGCAGTAATAAATACATCCACTTTGTGAACATCATTTCTCTCTGCCTCTCAGTAGTTGGCTGGGGAAGTGTTCTTCTGATTGGTCACACAGCTTAGCAGCAGTGAGCTCTTCAAGCCTGTTGACAAGCCGGCAGCCGCAGCTGACAGTAAATTGGGTTTGCAGGGGACTGGCCTGTACGCCGCCCTCACACAAACACAGACAGGGTCTACACCAACGCATAGGGGTCCTATAGGGCCCCCCCAACACACACACACTAATAATGCTAATAGCGGTTTCCCATGTCCACTAGGTAGTGGTTTCCTGATGTCGTTTTAAACTCCTGCTACAGCGGTGCCAATTGGCCAGGTCAAACATAATAACCACAACTAGACGGCAAACGCACACTTACATGCATGTGCACACACACAAGCTGCAGCACTGGTCTGCGTGCCTGAGTCGCCAGAATGGACCAACAACAAAGGAGAATTTACATTAAAAGCCCTCAAAAATAAGTGAGTCTTCAGACTGCAAGAACTTCACAGGCATGTTATTGCTGCCGTAAGCTGAACTGTATGAGCAGGCATCTCTGTATTACAAGCAGCGTACACAATATGTTTAAATATTAAAGATGAGGAGCAGCACAGTGAACAGGCCTGTACTGGTGCTGCAGCTTCTGGCTGACACCTACAAGCTGTTAATACAGGTGAATAATACATCAGGAACTCTGCAGCTCTTCCTCTCCTTATAGGAAAGAACCTCATTTATGTCAAGTCTTATTTTATCCAACAGAAAAAGTTTTAACAGTCAGTCACAAAACAAAATAATATGCTTGGAGATTTGCTAGTTTGCTGTTATTCTACAAATGATCTCACTGTTTAAACAGTGAATCTCTCAGAGCAGCAGCTCGCAGGTGACAACTAAACACACAAGGTCAGTTAACTGTTAAATGTCTCGTCTGAAGATTTAAATTAATGGCGGCCTCCAGGCTGCCAGCTGTGTGTAATATTAGGCACCCTTTTGAAGAAGTGGAGTGTGTGTCTGTGCCATCGAGTTGGCACGAGCAAGAGGAAACACAAGTGGACATAATTTACTGATATTGTGCAGAGTGCTTCTGCCAGTGCAATCTGCACGAGCTTCTATGGTTTTATTCATTTATCTATTTATCCTTCATATTTATTTATTTGTTTGCTGCCTGTCCTGCCGGTATAAGTAGCCTACTGGTCAGGTCACAAGTGTTTTGTCCAGAATTGTATTTAATGATAATTGCAGGTAAGGGGCCGGGTTCTGATGGCAGGTTTGTAAGCTGGAGACGTGCAGGACAAAACATGAAAAATGTCTCCTCATTTGCAAATATGTTAAAATATTTCAAGTTTAATTTCTTCTGTTTTTGCTGCATGCTTTTCACAGCCCATTGTACAGATCCACCCTGATTGTCAGGGCCTATTTCGCACACTGATAACAAGCACTGTGCAGGCACAGTCCATCCATTATTTCATTACAAATCCGATAAGTTATGGCTTGTCTATAAATCACATTTCACCTCCTCTGTGTCGCTGTGACACCCACCACCATTCTTCACTGTGTGTATGTGCTATGCATGTGAAAAGCAGCATGTGTAGCTACAGATGAGCCGCTGTCAACCAAAGAAACGTCTGAGCATATTCTGCTGTTATCGGTGTGTGAATGGATGCACGGCTGTAAGCGAATGGGACGACCACACACAGCGCGGGGGAAATGAGCAGAAAAGGCTCATTCAGACGACATTACAATGATGGAGAGTGTGTTCAGACAAAGAGTGGGATGGCAGGTGGGTCTTTTTCATGTGGCCTGAAAGCGAACAAACACCGAGCGAGCTGGATGGCCGGCGAAAGTAAAAAGTAAGAAGTGAATTGGTGGAACTGCAGCGTCAGGTTCCTGGACTTCAGCAGCAAATGCTAATGTTTAAGCTGGACATTTATTCAGATTTGTAGCTGACTTATTAACAACACACAATAAATAAATAAACAAAAGTCTGATATTACTTCCATTTGTGTATGAGGGTTGTTTTAGTAGAGAACTGAACAACGTGTTGGAAGAGAAGCCGTAGTGAAGCTGGCATCTATTCCATTCAGCTGAAAGTACTTTTTAAACCTCTGTGTCAGTATCTATAAAAGAAAAACGCCTTTGTCTAGCTAATCACGCCTTCTGTTATGAGAATGTGCATGTGGCTGCCTGTTAGGAGTGTGCACCAACAGTTAAATGAACACCCCTTTAAAAAGCCTTGCAGCTTCTATAATGTGAGGATCTTCAGCTTTTCTGTTTGAAATCATTGTTGAACACTGTGCTGGGCCTATTTCACTAATCAACAGATTAACTGTTAATTAGCTGCCGTCACATTTGCATGCATTAATTCACTAGCTGGCCTTCTTGTTTCATCATCTACTGACTTAACATCACCCATCTGCCCTTTTTCATTTGAGCTCAGGTGTCACGCTGACAGGCAGGTTGACATCTGTTTGCCTGTGGCTCTGCAGTGCATTTCAAAGATTGTGTGAGTGAGTGAATGAGCTGCAGAGGTGAGCAGAATATTGCAAATTGGATTAAGGACGGCCTGTCCTAACTCACCCGCTCTCCTCACCTCAGCACTTTTTATGACTTCACTCTGCTTTTCTCCATCTATAGTTTTCTTGGCTGTTCTGTCTCCTGTTCATCTCTTTGTCCCTCGCTCATCTTGCATATCTCCCCCACATCTTATTAAAAGCAATGGTTTCTCTACATGATGTGTGTGTGTGTGTGTGTGTGTGTGTGTGTGTGTGTGTGTGCACTCCTGTGTGTCTAAGAGTTTGTATTTAGTAGAAATAGGGAGCTGACTCATCACGCAGCATGCATACGAGAACTGATCCAAGCACCAACCCACACACAAATCACACTGAGTAGACTGCCCTCCATATGCAGACGCACTCACAGACAGACAGGGGGGGGGAATGCATCAAGCCATTTGTATACAAAAATGAAGCTGACTTTGAAGGACTGCGGTGGCCGGCTGAGGATCTTAAATGAGAGCGTTGATGAGATACAGAAGGTTGGACAAACAGCCAGGGAGCCTTTCTCTCCCACTCACCCTTGAGATGGAGATTTTCACATGAATAACACTGAAGCTGTAGATGGCAGAGCAAAAGGCCTCTCTCTCTCTCTCTCTCTGCGTCTTTGTAGCTCTCGCACACAAACATGCCTTCAGAAAAACCTCTCTGGCAATGTATGATGTAGCTTCACAAACACTTTTTGTTCATCCTCTGATTCAGACACAAACAAAAGCCAAAACAGGGCTTTCTCTGTTATGCAGAACTTCAGCACTGAAAAAAAAACCAACCTAAACAAATTAATTTCCTCTAGCGAGCAGATACCGTCCCAGTCATTTGTCTGGTTCCATACGGACCTTAATGATTAGAGGCAAGGTCTTCTAGACATTAATCGTAGCTGAGGACAAATAATTACCTTGAATAGAGGACCAACCAGGTTGGACTGAATCCACTGCCAAAACACATAAAATGAACAATAATACCGCACAACTGCTTTCAGCAAGCGAGGACTGGCTCTTAACTTTATTGTTGTATTTAGGGGATTTGAGGAAGGCTGACATAAATCAGGGCACATTTTCCACTAGTTGTGTTCTAGGATCATGACACTGGACACTGAAGATGCAGCAGTGTGTTAAGTGCATCCACTGACAACTGCAAACGACAGTACCTGTTTGCTAAGTAGCAACATAATCACTATGTTTCCAGGCCCAAACTTCTCTTCAGTTCAACATACTATAGTACTGCGTTCCCCAGTGTTTCAATAGATCTCAATCAAAAATAACAGGCCAGATGTCAATTTTCCACTTTCCTTGCGATGGCAAGGAGAAAGAAAAGGCCCGGCAAGTCACAGTATTCGTAAAGTAATACTTGATTTAATAAAACAAACTTCTAAAGGTGTGTTTTACTGCCTTGCAATGTAGCTAGCTAGTTAGCGCACAAAGTTAACATAGACACTACACTGACATTTTCTACTGATGAATGTAACGGTAAAAGCTGGGAACTATTAAAAACAAGTTAGAAATATAACACAATATATATATACACACACACACACACACACATTTGTTCTTGTCATAAACACACAGCTGCTAATGGTTTCTTTTCTACTGATCTTAAGCTAAGAAATAAGCAGCAAAATGTTTCAAAGCGATTTAGAAAACAGGCTTTGCAATGTTTTATGAGAAAGAAAATGGATTCAACATATTGGTTAGACCTTGAGGGTAAACACAGTGCATTTGGGTAAGAAGCAGAAACATTAAGAGAAACACTTAACAAGAAACTCCACAAGACGCCATACACAAGTCAAATTCAAATAGTGAAGTCATACATTCTCTAGGCTGTGTGTGAGAGCGCCGGGCTGAAACGGGGATTAAATACACTCAGACAAGACTTAATGCTGAAACATGCTTCTCTGCACAGAGGTGAACATGAATGGCAGTTGTTTGGCAACTTAACCTTGTCCATTATAGCCTGGTTTGGTGGTTTTTACAAGGCGGTTTATATGTTCGTATGTGCAACCTGTGTAACGTTTTCACTCAGCTGGTTTAGCAGGATGCACTGTTGTGATTTGAGAGATGTGTGTGTATCAGCTCCTCTGCGAATGGTTACTCATAGCACTTCACTGTGTGGGTACCCGTAGACATTTCCATGTTATGTTCATTAGTCGTTGCCATGGATATGACCAATGATGGATGGAGTATTTTCAGACAAAATCTGACTTGACAATGACAGTTTATGCTCTACTTACATCTCAGTTTTGTAGGTGGAGCACCTCTCCAGCTGGATCTTCAGGACTCGGTTATTGAGCCCAACAAAAAGTGACCTGTCGCTGTGCAGGATCTGAAGGCTTAGGATTGGTTCTCGCACTCCAGGAGGGAAGAGCTCCATCTCCTCCAGGTAACAGCCTTGTAGCTTCTTGTTGGGTGTAGCTAGTGCCTTTAAGATGGTGCCATATTCTAATTGGACAGGAAGGTTTAAGAAGAAGTAAAGGCAAATTAAACACTGTATTGCTTGAAATTTCTTTTTGGGGTTATACAGTATTTTTGGACTGAATGTATAAACAGTAGGTCATATGTGTCTTCTCATTTTACTCCTCTACCAACCTGTGCTGATGTACATAACATGGTAGAGGGTGTCCATGCCCTGAACTATATCCACAACCATGTTGGAGAAACGAACATCATCCTGCATGACCAGCGGGTCAACAGACTCCGGCTGGACCACGTCATTCATCAGGTAGAGCCGCTGAGCGTCCTGCAGGCTGCGCTCTGTCAAACCCTCATTGGGACCCTCATCATCTATAGTACCACACTGGAGAGTCAGAAAGGGAGACGAAAAATTAGGATGGATGAAGGAAAATGTCAAAGTGAGGCAAAAAAGACAAAGTAAACCCAAAGAGTGCAGAAATACACCACACGCCTGTCACTGTACTTAATGCACTGGATGGGTTGTTTCAGTTCTTAATTCTACTCTCAGTAACTGCAGCTCTGTAGAGGAGAAAAACCTCTGTGATTGTCATGTGACCAGAGCAAAAAGGCAATAAAAAAATAAAGCAAAGCTTACAGGTTCTTCTCATTGTTTGTGACTTGAACTGAAAGGCCAGTTGCTGGGAGGCTCTATTGTAGGGTGGCGTTTGGACTTGTACATGGTTTTGGAAATATAAGAATGTTTTTTGGTAGATATATATCTATATTATTAGTTTAATCATTTTAAATAATAACCAGCTTTCAGGATCATGTAGAGTTTATGATTTTTGCTGACCACAATTTACAGCAGCTTTTCCATCTTGATTAAAGGATCTTAATTATTTAGGCAATCTTTAAGATGAAAATTATAATAAGAGTATAAAAAGGACTCTTTCTCAACTTAGCTGAAAAACTGTGGGCATTAACTTCTGGTAGGACTGAAGGACCTGGTGGAGCTGCTGAGTTTCCTAATCTTTTCTCAACATAAGGTGGTGTTTGTCACACGTCACAGTTTGTAGGTGCTAAACCCTATACAGCTGTACTGTGTTATGATTTAAATTGACTGGGTTAGCTGGTATGAGATTAGGCTCGATGAAGTGGTTAAACTCACCTGGAAGTTGTGGATTGGGTTGGGTGTGGGTAGCCAGGTGGAGCGAGGGTTTTCCTGGGAGCGGAAGGGCCCGTTAAAGGCCTGGGTGATGGCGCTCAGGTTGAAGGCACACACCGCGGACGCTGCAATGCTGTTGCTTTATGGAGAGATGGGCAGGAAGGACACGATAGCATGGGGCAGAAAGGGGAGAAATGACAGGAAGAGATGGAGAGAGAAAGATATTATTTCAACAATAACATTCATATTAGTTTACATGCTGGCAGTAAATGTGAAGCCATATCAAAAATCAGCAGTGTCCTGCTTTATAATAAAGCCATTCTGTAAGGTGTCCCTATCATTTAGACCCTCACTAAACAAGTGCTATGGCACAGGAGCTGCTTTGGCTGCAGGGTAAGCTATGCTATCAGCCCTGCAATGGGAACACTATTAAGATGAGGGTATGGGAGGCGATTGCACAGATTATGTGCAAGCATACACAAAGCCGCCTAACAGGTGTTGCATATGAGAGTAAACCCCAGCTAAACTGTCGGCGTGAGTAACGTTATCATTGTGACGCGCTTCGGAAAAAAACAAGGTAATGAGTTTCTTAACTGCTGCTGTTTCCCCCCTACCCCACACAACCACTCAGACTTTTTATTGTGCGGTGAACAGCCTGCTGCTTCGGCACGGCTTGTGTGATGCTGACAAACCACGAGCTAGAAGATTGTGACTGATAACATTATAAGAAGACAGCGAGAGGGAAACAGTGAGAGCCTCAGAAAGAGCGACTGACAGCGAGAGAGAGAAAGAAAGACTATTGTTAGGGCTTCATGGTGCTTTTGTGGGTCGCTGGGTACCTTGGGTAATGTATAAATCAGTAAAGGCTGCTGAGGCAGAAAAAGCTCAGTATAATGTGTGCCAAGATTTGCTAAAATAATTTATTTACTAACCTAAATATGTGGTTTCAACCTCTCGACGGCTTTTAGTTGGTTTTCATTCTCTTTTATTTTCATTTTTATGACAATCTTCTAGCTAGGTAAACTGTCTACAGTGTGCACAAACTACTCAGCCTGGCCATAGTTAACTGACACTATCCATGTTATTGGACAGTTTTAATTGGATATGGTTTTACCTGTATGCCAACGGATTGTTATCACACAGAAAATGTTTGAGTTTATAGAGGAGACTGTCATTGTCTTATTATGTTTTGGGAAATGCAAACAGCAGTGCAATTTTTCCCTGGAAGCAATGAGTCGTTGCTGTAAAGTACACCTGAACACCCTCCCTCCCACACACACACATTGTGACAACACTACAAAAACCATGCTCAGTTAGTCACTAGCTGTCTGCTGTCTAAGCTCAAAAGCTCCATTTGCTAATTAATTTAACGCACATCGAAGAAAAGGTTTGCCTTCCTGATTCCAGCAGTGTGTGTTTGACTGATCTATGACTGAGAAGAAGGAGTGTTGTTTGTACAAGTCATCCTCCTCTGGGTGTAATATCCCTGTTTTACCTTGAAGATGTTCCTAAGCATACTTGAGAAACCTGACTGTTTTTGTTTTGAGTACTACTTTCTCACAGATCCAGTTCAAGATTGTGAGGTAACCAATGTTCTGTCATTACCCCAGGGTGGTACAGTCCTGTGCAGCTCTAAATGAGCTCTGGCTAAACAACAGGGGAAGCTAAACAGGTGGCTCACTGACTGACTTGCAGACTGATGAGGAAAACAGCCTCCAGACTTTTTGTCATTGAGCGACAGTGAGGCAGAAATAAAGTCCGTGGAGCTGAGCGAGCGCTATGGTAAGCCGGGGGTAACCAAACCCTAAGTGGAGGAAACCACAAGAGAATGAGCTGCAGCCAGAACTGTTTTTACTGTTCCACACACAAACGCACAGTTCAATATAGTAGGAAGTTAAACCGTGGGTTTGTGGTCATACTGTAGCTACAGCCTTCTGCCACAGCTAGCCTGGCAGTGTCCAGATTATCTGAGATCTCTACTTTGACAGTGGGCTGCTGCACATAATGCAGAGGAAACAGAGTGACAGGGAGCATGTCAAGAGAACACAGTCTGTCGTAGTAATGGATGAATAGAATACAGTCTGTCGTAGTAATGGATGAATAGAATACAGTCTGTCGTAGTAATGGATGCAACCCATATGTTTTGAATCTGCTTAAAAACCTGGGAAAGTGACTGAAAAGCTGTTTGACATCTGGTTTGCTGTTTGCTGCTGCTCTCTGAGGACAAGCACCATGATGATCACTTCCATTATGAATGAAGCTACTTCAAGTGATTCATCTTGTCCCAAAAGCCTGACGCTGCCACCGGTTGTTCTCTCTGCGCTGTCTCGTCTTGTTTTACAGAAGTCGTCTCAGTCCACCGCTCTGTCATTCTCTCCTTTCCTTTTCTGTGCTGTGAACCAATGTGTCCAATGCCTTTTATCAAATCTTCATATGTAATGTTGCTCTGAATTTCTCAGTAAATACACTTGCTGTGCACAGTGAATGTCGCTGTGTCTTAAGAGATGGAGGGAGTGAGACGACAGAGAAAGGAGAATCAGCAGGACCTCTGACAGAGGCTCTGCATCTATTCTGTCTCGACTCTCACTTCTCTCTCTGATAGACACTCTCTTTTCCACCAGATTGATGTGTGCAGTGGTGTCCCTACAATATGTTCTCCAAACCACCTGCAGTGAACAGTAGCCAAGTGCATTTACAGAGTATTATACTTAATTTCATCTACAGTAAGGTATTTTTACACCTCTTTTCAAGGGCTGCACTGAGCATCACAAGCTGGAAATACCGGAGTATTTTGAGTTTCATGCATCTTTAAGCATCTGTTTCACTAGAGGCACTGTAACTACCAGACAGCTCTAGTTGCTGTTAACTTACAAGTAATATTTCATATATTGAACATATCTAATTGAATATGACTCATTTATACATCTAACTACATAACCAATGTCTAGTTTATATATGGTTGATTGGGGACAGCATCTTGCTAGCAGATAGCTGTAAGTTACTGATTGTTGTTGTTTGCTAACAACAGCACTGACTGATAGGTTTGATAGATTATTGGGTAGATACAGGTGGAGGATTGTCTTGGTTGCGTGGGTGCAGGTGCTTCTGGAACGCCGGAACACACTGTTGAGCATTGTCAGTGTAGCGGGCCTGACTCAACGCCAGTTAGTGACAGGGTGCCCACCGGATGACGATGTGGACTTGCCTTCACTCCTGCACCCACACATAATTTGTACTAGGGTTGATGATTATACCGTTTCTGATTCAGTAGGGGGACATCGCTGGGTCTTTTCTTCTGACTGGCTCCAAGATGCGACCGCCTACCAAGCCAGGTGGGCCAGCAGCTGTTTAACCTCAGCAAATACAGTGAAGATACTGTGTGTATCACATATCTGCTCTTTGTTTGGGTTAGAGAGTGATGACAGCTGTGGGTAGAAATGGTGTATATGAGATTATTTTATGTGCATTGTAGGTTAGGGTTAGAAGGTGGGTGTTACTTATGATGGGGCTCTGAAGATTTATGATGCCATGGCGTGCACAGCCCTCTCTGGGGCCAAATAATGGTTGAACACCATTTAAACTGAGCTGCCATATGAATGCTCAGCCATTCTTTGGCACATTTAATTGTTTCCTTTGAAAAGGACAAAGCATTTTTTGCAACTAATACTCTGGAATTCATGGGTTTATGATATTTTTAGTTTGCTTAAAAGGATAGTAATATCCTTAATATTCAATATTTTATCACCTGAAAAGACTGAAATGATCCTACTAAAGCTCCATTGTTGTCCAAAACCTTTATCAACACAAGGCTAAGCCATCACACTGGGCCATGCTCCTCCATTACCATCAACATACACACCGTAGTTTATTTTGAGTCAGTCCCATCGACCTGCTGCCAGTCTACTCATTAGAGCATCAAACGTGGAATAAGCCACAGCTGGAAATAGGAATTCATTCTTTACTGTTTGAATAATGTTTAAAAAGTACAGCATTCAGCTATTTCAGGGAATATAAACTATATTTTAGCCTGTTTTTTTAAAGATGCATGTCTTCAGTAGGAAATAAAAGGCTTGGACAACAGACAGGTTAGGGAACTTGAAAATACTGAGAGGCAGACCAACACATTTTGGTGTTTCTACAACATTTGTTGACAATAAGAAAGCGACAGAGCTCAACCTGATTGTTAAATGAAACTAATAGTTGTTTCACCTCTGTCAGACGCCGTCACCCAGGACACCGTACATACAGATGTTCTACACCAACAGGCTGGATGTGATGCTCAGTGCAGCCCTTGAAAAGAGGTGTAAAAAAGGTAATGAACTTTTCAGTCAACCTGACCGCCAGGCTCTCTGTGCAGATCAGTCCACCAGTGAGTGTGTCCGGTAAACACAGGTGGCTGGTCTCACTTGATAACCTTATCTTTTAAGGCTGGATGCTGCTCCACTGTAGTTACTACTGCACATTTTAAACCTGATCCCAAAAGTTTATTTCTTCATAGATTGATGAATCATTTTTTCTTTTTGCTTTTTGAATGTTATGACCACATGATCAGTCATATTATATCTGTATTATTAAGTTTACATTGATGTACGTCAATCATAATTATTTATGCATATTGTGTACATATTTGTTTATCTGATAGAATTTTAACCCTTTCTTGACAAGCATTTTGGTCAACATTTGTTTTTAAGGCGTCATACAATTAACTTGACATTTAGACATGCACTGTGTGCAAACATCAGTGTAGAGGAAGAACACTGGAGTCTTGCTGAAACCCCAAGTTTTTCGCTCACTCGTTTTATGTGAAAAAAGGAACAGCCACATAAAACTACATAAAGGCCAATGTTTCAACGTCTGAATACCTGCATCACAGCAGAAAAGCAAAAAGGGCCCACTCAGCAGAGCTACATGGCTGTGGGGACAGAAATTGAACCAGGTCTGCCAGGATTATACATACATATTTTTTTATACTGCACAACAATATGCCAGCAAAAGTGGCACCTTTGGCCCAAAGCAGCCTGAGTCAGCGAAACCTGTGCTAAGCAATACAGCAGCATCACAGGTTCAATAGGTTGCACAAAAATCCAGGTGTTAGATGTGAGCTATTGTAAGGAAACACACAGTTCTCTGAGTATAACG